ACTTTTGGGGTTCAGATAAGCAGAGTGCTGTCTCCTGAGTAGGCCACCTCATCAGACATTGGGGGAAATGACTCATTAGTCTGTACTAGTGAGTGGCAAATAATTACTTTCCAGAAGTCATTAAAATTGGGTTTATTAGTTGAAGCTCAAAAACTTCAAAATCTTCTGAGAATCTAAGAAAAATTTTTCTTCTTTTTAATTTCCATCTAAACTTCCAAACGATACCTACACTAAAGTCTATCAGTCTCCTCATCAAACTGTGGCTATATTTTGAACATTCAGTCATTCACAACTTATTTATCAGAAGATCAATATAAGCCAGGGATTCTGCACAAAATTTGAGAAAATAGTGATACATGTGTTCTCCACCATTGTGGAGAGTCCAACAGAAAGGTGAAAGGGAAGATTGGGTTGCTGTGAGAGTCTATACCAAAAATACAAATCTTTACCTCTTGAAGAGGTGATTAAACTGAGCTCTGAAGAACAGAGTGGAATTAATCAGGTAAAGAGGAGAAGAAGTGCTCCAGGGTGCCAGAACACCATGTGCAAAATTTGGGAATTGGGAAGGAACATGAGTGAAAATTACTGAAGAGTCTCTGGTTATTCCAATCCTCTCTCCAAAACCTCTTTCTACAATCCCCATCTAACAAAAACTCTTTAAAACGGAGCTCAAATTTAATCTCTTCTTAGTAACAATGACCCAAAATCATCATCCTCAAATGAAATAAAGGATTTGTTCTCTGCGACATTTAGATGAGACTAATCTATTACTCTGTGGCAGCTATTAGTATGTTTACTCTATTCTTTCTATTACAAGTCTTGGGGAATCTAAATCTTTGTAGTTAAGTAGGAACTCAAGTAGTTATTGAAACAAGTTGTGTTTTTTACATTACCTGCAAAATTTAGTCTTTAATCTAAATGGTACTCAGATATTTCTGTCAATGAAATTAAAAGGAAGAGGGTTGGGCCTTTTTTTTTTTTTTTTTTTTTTTTTTTTTTTTTACAGA